GGAGGTCCAAGTCCAACCAGAATAGCCTCCTTGGTGATCTACTTCAGAAGAAATCAACCACTGAAAACCCTATGGAGCCCCAGTTTCACTGACACACATTGTGTTGCCCTAACCTGGACATTTTTTCAAAATGTTAGTATATTTTGCTCAATGTTTCCTAATCTGGTGGCATAGCACCTAAGGCATTTGACTGGTAACCAGAATACTGGCAGTTCAAACCCACCAGCCACTCCTAGGAAGGAAGATTGGGCAATCTACCTCCGTAGTGATACTGTCTCGGAAACCCAAGGGGGGTAGCTATGAGTCGGATCTGACTTGATAGAAGTGAGTTTGGTTTTGGTTTTTTTCTTCCATAAGAGGTACCCTATTTAAGGAAAAATTAACCATAATTCCCTCATGAGCATAGTTATACTGATGTATGGTATATATAATGCTAAAAGCCATTATGATTCCATAACACTTTTAAATAGATTTGTATTTTGTTAATCTGAGTAACAGCAATGTATCTGAAAAAGGGTTGTACCATTTCATGTAAGCATATTATTCATTTGATCAAATGGTCACACTTAGTATACATAGGAAGTGCTGGACTCCTTTCAATAATTTCTCTTTCCCACTCTTTGCACCCAGAGGTCTGAGGCTCCCAGGTTGGGAAGCACACTCGTCTAGTATACTTCACGCAAGAAGGGACAATGAATTATTTCAAGGTGGAATCTGTACTTGATTCCTGTTTGCTTTTTTGACAGAATCTTGAAGGAGCAGACAATCAAAGATGTTGTGAATAAATATGCCCATTGAAAAGGAACAATCAGTTATATATTTTTATCCTGAGGTGTTCTCAACAGAAAAAATTCACAAAATAAGGAGATAGAAAAATGCTGTTCCAACTTGAAAAGAATACAGAGGTGAAAGTAATAATAAAAGGTATATGTATTACACAGGTGACTCCACTGTGGGGAGAAATCGCCAGATATTTTGAATATTATATCCTGATACAAAGCATGGTACTTGAACATTTTATAACATACTTGACAGCAACATCTTTTGTGATAAACCTGCTTGAATTTCTGTAGCCTTGCTGTTTCAGAAAAATAAGCAATTTTGTTTTAAATATCACTGATGACCAAAAGACTTGATCATTATAAACCTCAAAGCTGTATCTTAAAAATTTTCAACAAATTTCTGTGTGTGAATTTTTAAAAGTGAAAAAGCTAAAGATGCCAGAGTAAAAAGGGAAACAACAACAACAACAAAAATATCTTGGACTTTTTGAAATTGAGTTAATAGCTTTCTTGGATTTCAGATTCCTGCTATTTTGTGTGCCAAACCCAAGAATTACACTGTCACATGGCTAATGCCAAGTTGCACATTTTAAAACACTATTAAAAATTGTAGTTTTTGCCCAATGGGAAAAGTTTAAATGTTCTAACACAGCCATTTCTCTTTTTTATGAGCCCTAGCTACATCTGAAAATTGGTTTTGCTCCTGTAATACTAATAGCTAGCATCATTGCACCCCAACCTGTTGCATTTCAGAGAGGAATTAAACACTCAGACACATAAGCTCAGGTAGCAGGAACAACACTATAGTCCTTTAAAAACAAATATCTCCCTTTTTGTTTTTTAAATAGAGTTTCCTGCCAGAATAGATATTCCGCTAAGAAGGAACTGATACATAAAATGTCATTAATGTCATTCCAAAATATCTCTTGGGCCAAACTTGCAATTTACTGATGCAAATATTTTTGCTTCAGCATGAAGAGGAGATGGGAAGTAGTTTCCCCAACTATTGGGCTGTGTCCACAGCCTACCAGCAGGACAGAGTGGGCTGTGTCATTATTTGTCAAGCCAGTCTGTGGAAAGGTGCCTGCCGCCTTCGACTGTCAGCTCCAAAGGCATGCTCTGGCACGCCCTGCCAAGACTGGCTCCCTGACAGTGCCTGTTCATTTTCCTGTCATGGCACGCCATGGCATTTGTACCACTGGGGTTGGATTGCACAGTGTTATCAGCGGCCGCCAAAGCCTTTTCTTGTTACAGGTAATAATGGAGCGCACAAGGTAATGGCAGGGAAAGAAGTGGCAAAGAGGCAGGCCTAGGGGGAAGAAAATTAAGACCAGCTTTGTACTATTGAAAAAATCTGAGATAAGACCTCCTCACCTTGCTGCTCCCAGCTCTCAGAAATTTTTGTATATGCATTTAAAGAAAAGAATAAGTTGTGAAAGTTTTAAGTTCTGAATAAATTTCTCCCTGAAAAAGGCAGCCTATGGGTATTTCTACTTATTTGTCCCAGATTGGGATGCAGAGGAAGATTTCCAGGGGTGTCAGGATTGCAAGATAAGACACTAGCTGGGGAAAGACCTATCTCCTTACTGAGGGTTCCTAGGAAAAAAGTGTACTAGATACTAGAAAGGACCTTTCATAGTGACACCTCCTTGGGTTTCCGAGGTAGTATCTCTACAGAAGATTGTCCAATCTTCCTTCCAATGAGTGATTGGTGGGTTTGAACCACCAGCCTTCTGGTTAGCCACCAAATGCCTTAGGCATTATGCCACCAGAGCTCCCAGATACTAGAAAGAAGGTTAGTATCTGTCACCACCTTCCCATTGCCAGGATTCCTTGGGTGGTGGTGCAAATGATTATGCTCCCCAGTACTAGGTGAAAAGTTGGCCATTCAAACTGACATAGAATCACCTCAAACACAGGCCTGGCAATCTGTTGCTGAAAAGTGACAACCTTGAAAATCCCATGGAACAGTTCTACTATGCATACACTGGGTCACCACGAGTAGGAACTGACTCTATGGCACTAACAGCAACAGCAGCCTTCATTGTTCACCACACAAATCCCCATCACGGTGACCCAAAGCACTTTTCAGCACTTTGTTACAGATACATTCCTTTGAGTGGCCTTTAGGTGTTTATGACTCAGCTATCCAATCTACTTCTGTAGTGATAATGCCCCGGAAACCCAAGAAGCGGTCGCTGTGAGTCGGATCTGACTTGACGGCACATTACAACAACAACAACAATCCACAAAGCAACAATTCAGGCAGGAGAACACATTGAGTTCTTTATCAGTTAATTCCTGTTGTTGTTGCTATGTGCCATTGAGTCGGACCCGACTCATAGCGATGCTTCCGTGGGTTTCCGAGGCAGTATCACCATGGAAGTAGATTGCTCAACCTTCTTTCCAATAAGTGCCTGGGGGGTTTGAACCACCAGCCTTCTGGTTCGCAATCAAGTGCCTTAGGCACTACACTACTAGAGGTCCTACGTGAGGATATTTAAATGTACATGTGCTTTGATAAGTCATAGCAAACACTTCACTTTGGGAATCAAAAATAACACAAATTTCTGAAAGGGATTAGAGATTAGAATGAAAATACTGGGATGTAGGGAGAAGGACTGAAATGAATGCAGACAGAACCAAAGGAAATTTTACTTCTTTCTTGCGTTATTGAGAAGTATATAGATTCTGAACAAAGGATGATATGGATTTTAATACCATCTCTGCTATATTATCTACACTCTCAAAGACAGTTTCCTCCAAGGAAGACTTAGAACTCTAATACCTGATTTATAGAATTTTGATGAGCATTTAAACAAATAGCAGAGAGCCAAGACACCGACAGACACTGAGCATATGTTATGTTAGGTCATTTTTCCCACCTGCTTTGTCTTGCCCTCCATTGTTGCAGTTTGGCTTTTTTCATTATCCATCCAATCTACAGATCCAATTATGCTTTTCTCCAACAAACTTCAAAAGCAAGCCCCACTAGAAATTCACTGTTTCTTCATAAAATAAGAAAGAATGCACTTCAGAAAACCTCCCATACCCTGTACATACAGAAACCATATCCATACTGTTGCAGTCACATGTCCTGTCTCCTTGGTTCCCACCTGCAGTGGGATCCCTCCCTCATAGGCCAATCTTCCAAGAATAGAACCTAGCTGGTTGTGGTCAGGGATAGTGGTGATGGAGTTGGTCAGTGTCCTTATGTATTTCCCATGCCTGTAGGTTAGAATTGACACCTGAACAATTTGAATTTCAAGGATGACTTGGTTATTTTAATGTGTCACAAAGGAGGCTGATGTTTCCAGTGACCTTCTCCTCCACTACTTCCCATCAATTGTTCTTCAAGGTGAATTGGCCAAATGTGTTTGAAAAAAAGGCTCATTTACTAGTTGTCCAATCCTGAAACAGTGTGGATGAGTTCTGTTAAAAACTAAATTAACTCTACAATTACTCAAGTCCACTAACATCCTCCAGGCTGGCTTAATTTATAAAGAAGCAAGTTACAATTCCAAGTGATGACTAGTTCTATTTTCTTTCACTCAATTCCTTACACAATCTCACAGACAAATGCTCAAAGGCTCAATAAATAGCTCCCAAGTGCTTTGTAATGGGTTCATTCTGTGGCTGATAGTTCTATGTGCTTTAGCACAGACCTGGGTGACTTCACCTTCACATTTATTAAAAAATGACCCACTTAACATATCCAAATTTGAATAGCTGGTTGCCTGTTTTCAGACATAAAGCCATGTGGAGCAGGAAATATTTTATTTTATCTATATCTCAAACCTTTTCTTGCATGAGTGATTCAGCTGCATCAAAAGGCCATCCTGCTTTAAAAAAACTTCAGAGAAAAACAAAACAAAACAAAAAACAGAGAATCTAAAGCTCCTGAAGTAATATGCTCAGGTTTCAGACATTTTTATCAGGAAGTTTTTTTGTTTTTTTTTTTTTCCCCTTTTTTGCAATGACTCAGTGTCTTGAAATAGTGTACACACCAAAAAGGAATTTTCAAGAGGTTGTTATAATCACATTTACAGAGATGAGTGAAGGCTGCAAGGACCAAGAAGAGCACTTGAAATGCAGACCTATGACATTTACAAGATATTCCTTATCTCATCTTGTTATCCCCCTCCAGCAGCCTTGTAAGGGCCCTGTTTGTGGTGATTACCTGAGACAGAGAGGAAGTCATCCACTGAGGTGATGTCATCCACAGCCTCGGTCAGGACTCGGACCTGCTTCTCCCACTGGTCTTTGAAGACATCCATGTTATCCTGAGCAACTTTGCTCTGTGGCCGAGCTGCCAGTGTGAGAGCAGCATTGATGACCTATTTTTTAGAAACAATCCAGGAACATGATGACCACACTCTTCAAAGAAAAGAATGAGCAAGCCAAAGACCATGTTGAAGTCATTGGACCCCGTAGCTTCTACAGAAAAATGGGTTCTCAGTGTTCAGAAAGGACAATCAAAAACATGAAATATAACAGTAGACAGATTATCAACTATTTGTTTTCTTTTCTTTTTTTTTTCAGATATGGTAATTGGCCTCAGGTGCCAAAAAATATTCACTGAGCAAGTCCCCTGCACATACCCCAGATGTGGCAGAAATATGACTCTTGCTTGCATGTGCAAGCTATAATTTAGTTGTTGAAGTCAATAGATAATGAGTGTTTAAATAATGACACAAAACAAATACAAGTCAAGATGAATGAAAAACACAATAATTGTCACAGTTATTCTGAAGAGACTAGAGTAGTTAGAAATACTTTTGAGAAAGATAGAGCTTGAAACATCCCATGAATGATGGGTAGAATTTCTCAAAGAGAGGAAATGGGACAAAGCAAAGGAAAGGAGTGATGTCAGGGCTGGAGCATGGAGGGTCCTGAATATCAGGTTATTGATGGTCTTTTGCAACAAAGTAAAAGAGGCTTACCTGAGGACACAGACTGTCAATTTGAGTGGCTGCCATTCGGACTAATTTCACCCCTTCCTCATTGTTGGATATGGAACAGGCCAAGTTGGCAACCTGTATTAAAGAGGATTTGAGTGAAAATCATGTTGGCATAAAGAAAAAAATACTGTTGCCTGACCTAGCAACTTTTCTGGAAAATGCCAAGTCCACAAGGCTACTTTCACAAATAAAATAAGGGGAACCTTCAATAATGAACCAAATACTACTAGTTCTTACACTGACTACATTAGGCATGTCTTCTAAAAGTCCTGAGAACTAATAAAAATAGTTAACTTCAAGATTCTCAAGCGTACACAATGATGCATTTTAACTGGGTTGCTTTGTACTGTCTTCCCATAATGAACACTCTGATACTTCTTCAGTCTCACCTCCACTAACATGCATGCTTGAGTACAGAACACTAATCTTGGACACATCAGCACTAATGTAATGGTCAGTGTTAAGTTCCGACCACTACAGGCAATCTTTAGATTGAAAAGAGACTCACAGTAAACTGAAAATTAGAAGAGGGAAAAGGGGGAGGGATTTGAGGTCTGCCTGTGAAAGTTTGTCTGTCAGGAAGATGTTTGTCCACCAGTAGGCAACTCAAATATTCTTAGTAGCCAGACAGGTGTGATAAGTGTGTAGAACAAGATTGGCATAATCCAATAGGAAGTGGAAAAGAATATAGTAAATTGGAAAATGAAGGTCTACTCTAAAGACACTCAGATTTGATTTTAAAAAACACTATAACAACCAAAACAGCTGAACTGAATTCAAGTTCCCACGTGAAGAGTATCAACTCTTGTTATTCCTTCTCTTTAAGGAGTGTGAATTGACAACCAAAGGTCACCCTCATTGGCCAAGATCAACAGCATACAAAGTCAACATCAAAACATTGATTTGTCCCATCAGGCTGATGTCAAGAGGACAGGAGGATAGAGGTTAGAAAGGTCAAATTAGAGAAGGGCAGCTGGGGCTAGGAGCAGTCAGGCAAGCAGAACAACTTATTATCAGAGAGAATCTCCTGGAGCTTTGTGGCCACCTGCCCTTTCAGATCCTATTCACCTGTGCTCTCCAGAACGAGGCTGCTGCCCTACCAGCTCCTAAAACCCCAGGAGATTATAGTGCACTACACATTTGTATAGTTTCTAATATGAAAGAAATCTTAGGCAGTGTAGGGTAGTAAGGAGAGTACAGTACATGAAGAAGTTCCTGTTTCTATCATAACTACTAGTTAGCTACATGATCTTGGGCAAACTACTTCACATTTGAAGAACTATTTCCTTATCAGCAAACTAAGACAGGTGAACAGTGATACTGTCAGAGGTTAATTTAATGAATCATTAATGAAAACAATCTTGTTTTGAAGATTTTGAGGAAGATAGAGAAGAGATCATTTGAAGTCTACTATAGTGACAGCATATACTATGAGAAACCAAAGACTGATTTCTAAAAATTGTCATGTAGTTTCTTACATTTTATAGTTTACCTTTGATTATTCAGATAATTTTCAATATTTTACTTAGATTTCAAAGGCAGTCTCAAAGATTTCAAAGAAAGACAAGTGTACCTCTTTACACCCATCTGCAGGAAAGGATATTGAGTGCCCAGGGGTATGGGTTTCTTGGAGGCAGAGAAGGGACTCCTAATTTCTGTTTCTTTTTGTTATTTTACACTATTTTTTGTTGTTGTTAAGTGCCTTTGAGTCGTTTCCGACTCATAGCGACCCCATGCACAGCAGAATGAAACACCGCCCGATCCCGCGCCAGCCCCACAATCCCTGCTATACTTGAGCCCATCAT